TCACTACTGAAAATCATTGTGTTTCTTGATGTTTTCTGCCGTTCGGTTGCCGTTTTAGATTACACACCAGCTTTACGCAATGACGATACTCCCAGAGACGATTTGATAGAGCAGTACTTCAAATTAGGGTTTAGTAGAGTAGAAATTTTGAGCTGCCTTGCCTTGTTACATGGGATACAGCTTAGYCYGAGTCAACTCAAACGTATACTTCAGAGAAGAGGCCTTTTTAGAAGGGGTCCACAGAGTTCCTTAACGATGGTTATTGATGCTGTGGAAAAGGAGCTACAAGGAAGTGGCAGTGTTATAGGTTATAGGTCAATGTGGCAAAGGGTTGTTAATGAACATGGCTTAGTGGTGACACGCAAAACCGTTCGTTTGGCCCTTAAAATGCTTGATCCCGTTGGCGTGGAATCCCGACTGAGACATCGATTGCAGAGACGAACTTACCGTGTACCCGGGCCAAATTTTCTCTGGCATATCGATGGTTACGACAAATTAAAACTCTTTGGGTTTTGTGTCCATGGGTGCATTGACGGTTATAGCAGACGGATAATGTGGCTAGAGGTAGGACCTACAAATAATGACCCTGTTGTTGTGGTAAAATACTTTATCAATTGCATTCGTCMAATTGGTGGTACACCTCGTGTAGTGCGTGCTGATTGTGGCACTGAAAATGTTCGTGTTGCAGCTACACAACGGTTTTTAAGACACAATTGCAGTGATGGTCTTTCTAAAGAAAAATCTTTTATGTATGGAAAATCAGTTTCTAACCAAAGAATTGAGGCATGGTGGGGGCAGTTGCGTAAGGGGTGTACTGTCTGGTGGATCAATCACTTCAAGACTCTAAGGGACAATGGTTTGTTTTGTGATGCCAACATAATACATCGGGAATGTCTTAAATTCTGTTATATGCCTGTAATCAGAAGTGAACTTTTAGAGCAGCAAAACTATGGAATACACATCGCATTAGACGGTCCAAAAATCAAGTTGCACCTTCAGGTCGACCAGATATATTATACTTCCTACCAGAAACTGAAAGTCAAAGAGACTTTAAAGTGGAAATCAGCATGGAGGACATCACCACTTCTGAGGAAGTTTGCTGTCCTGATGATCTTCCAATAGATTTCTCACCAGAATTTGCGTCTTTGGCAGAGATTATTATGATGGAGCATGGACTGGAGATGTCTCAATCACCGGAGGAAGCTCGAGAACTGTATTTACTCTTACTAGAGGAAATTCAGCATCTATTATAAACTTGGGTAAGAAAGAGATATTTTACGGTTTAGTATTTGCAAAGTACATTGTAGCTAAATAACAATCTTCCAGATCTTTGACTATAATATGTGTTGAAACAGAATATTTGCTAAC